CACTGTAGTATTATGTACTGTTACAGATTCTCACATAACATAACACTCCCTGAGGTTGAAGCCAGGACTCCGCATCCAGCGGAGCGCCTTCTGACGCACCAACTGCAGCCTCCACGAGACAAGTCTGAACCATCTGAAAACACCGCAGCGAAAACCAAAGGCAGGAGGAACCCCAAGTATTGTTATACTATATTAAGGTACAATCATAATAATAATCATACTAATAATATTACTAATAATATTACTAATATATTATAGTATGTCATACTATCCTAGATCCCTAAACCCTAAAACCTAAATCCCGCCTCAGTGAGCTGCTTCTCCAGGTGCCAGTCACCGGTCTCCTTCGTTCGCAATGTGCGTAAGCATCACTTGAAGATTGCTCAATCACGTCAAGCCTCGTGGTAGAGGTAGGTCCCATGCCTGGCTTCCAAACATCACTGGAAACGTGAGATCCTGCGCTTTTGCAGATTGGGGCCTGGGATCAAAGTAGCGGGTCCAACCCGCGGGAGGCTCGGGAAGCTCACAGCCTTAGAAATAGATCACGCTCAAATGGGATCACGCTCAGTTGGGATCCCGGGACAACTGACTCTTGTTCTGCAAGACTTGCTGCGTGCCTTGTGGCTCGACGCTACAACCTGACCTGCTTTGCATTACCAGGTCCTGGCCAAGTATGTCATCACCTTTAGTTGTTTTTGAGACATCATGAACCTGTTTTCCAGAAAAACGAGCAAGGTTGCAGCAAGGTTCGAAACGCAGCATCTGTTTCTTTCGTGCTGAAAGTCTCACATTTCAGACTGCATACATATACACGGGAGCAAATCAATCCTAGATCTGGAGGTTGTCCTTGCCAGCTTCCAGGCTCTTTTTTCCTGGTCTTGTGGAAATTCGTCCCAGGCAACAGTTCGCCTCCGCTGCGTTTACACCTTGTCTAAATCTTTGCACAAACATGGTTGCTAGCGGTTATTAAAGTGGGATCCAAGTCAGCGGCCAGGTACTCAAGTTTAGGTATGACATTGACTAATTCAAGCCTGCGATACTGCGGTTCACAGGTTTATTGCGTTATTCCCTACGCAGTATTGCGGTTCTGAAGTTCGCGCTGCTGCCTTTCCGTGAACTTCACCACTCCCTTGTGGACTTTGATATGCTATGACTTTAATATGTAATATTTCATCATAGAACCTTTTCATTATATCATTGTATATACTACATGCTATTTGGTTGTATTGCAGAATAAAGAACAATGTATACTATAGTATACTATATAATCGTATGATATACTATAGCGTGCTACAGGCACTTCAGGGCTCTACATGCTAGCTGGGACTTTGCATGCGCCTGATTGAGCAGGGGTACCGCAGAAAGAGAATGAGCATCAGAACTCTATCTCGCAAGCCTTTCCTCTACTTCCTAAGGATGAGATGGTGTCAAATCATGTAGCCTGAAGCTAATGAAGATTCCCACATTCCGAACCTTGCTGCTGGATCTTGCTGTGAGCCATGGTAGTCTGCCGTTCTTACCCGCGGCGAGGGCACTTCAGTGCTATAATTTACTAAAAATAGTGGAATATACTAGAACAAAACAGAATATAAGACAATATACTACATCATAGTATATTGTACTGTATTATATAAGATGAGAATAACTTCTACTACGTTCTGCTATATCATACTACATTCTACTATACTCTACTAAATTTTGCTATATTATACTATGATCCATCTCTCACCATGACTTTCGTACAATGCATTTCAACGCTGAGGCAGCTTCTTTGTGAAGCGTCTGCTTGCTCTGGAGGTTCAGAGGTCTCTGTGCGTGCCTGCCAGATGGAATGCATGCCCTCCTCACATGTACTATATTGAAATATATGAAACGAAATCATACAACAATACACAAAATAATACGATACTACATTAGACAATATGTAAGTATACTATACCATAACATACTATAAAATAGGAGAATGTACGGTAATGTAGTATACTATACCATATTATACAATGATATAATGAAGTATCATATACTACAATATACTCCAATATACTACGATGCTCTCTACTACACCATAGCAAACTCCATGCGATGCATGCCTTCCTCCTCTTCTGCATGCAGCATTCAAGTTTGGACTAATAGTGCGCATCTGTGTGCCTTGCGCCTGGCCCGCGGCCCCATCCCATGTGGCCACAGCAGTGCAAGGCGAAAAGAGGAGTTTATGCTGGCTTTACGGGTATAGAACCTATGGCGTGTAACAGTCTAAACTAAGCATCAGATCAAGGGCATAACTATATCATAATATTATCCGACTGTTACAGACTGTGGCAGAACCCAACGTATAGAATCTTCTTCTTCGCAAGACCTTTTCAAGACTTGAGGTGCGTTGACATCCGTCATCAAAGTAGTCCTTACATGAATGAGGCCACCGGTTAGCTCTTGAAAAGCACCGTCGCTGTGCAAAAAGCGTCTACGGGGGCGCTAGCAAATTGACGCAGTGCTGCGTCTGCACAGCACAAGCATTAAGACGACCTGTTTCCGTGGCAGAAATTGGAACACAAAAGAAATCGGCACACGCAAGTATTTTAAATGGATAAATATTCTCAAAATATATCATATGCGGTACTTCTATAGGAAGAGGACATCATTCGTTATGTATAATTCACTTCAGCACTTTTTAACAATCATGCTTGGATCTTGTAGCTGACGGATGGGCTTATATATTCTGATATTGCCATTTCAATTAATATCTTCCGTGTTTGAGGGAGAATGCTTGTCGAATGGGATTCTGGATGGTTCTGTTTATTAGGTAAGCGATTTTGGAATTGCTCAATAATGAAGATTTATCAATATTATAATGACATTTTTCTTTATCGTATAATATTCTAGCTAATAAGATATTGTCTGTTTCTAGATATTATGAATTATATCTGTATAGAACTGTACTATATTGCAATATAAGGGATTACAAGCAGGCATGGTTGGGCCAGGTTCATGCCGGCAGCGACATAAAGAGCGATGCCTTCGGCTCAATGCAATGCCTGTTCTGCCAGCTGGAGAGCGTGGCGGTCCGGTCGAATTCTTATTCACCGCCTCAACAGGGCCTAACGTCATCGCCCTCTATGCCTTGCCGTGAGGACCTTAGGTGTTAGGGCGCGGCCTGCAAGAGATGGTAAATTGTAGCCTAGATTGCATCTGAACGCATTCAGGTCCAGGTTTCCATCTGAAAAGAAAGGCTGAATCACTGTCCGCAGCTTGCACGTGCCTGGCAAGCCGAGCCCAACAGTGGCAAAACTCATGCTTCATGTTCATCCTCAAGCTCTTGTCCCTTTGGATCTCAGCTCCACAAGGCAATGGTATCACGTCTTGTGAATGAATGACGCCTCTCAGGCTTTGAAACGAGATCGCCATCCCTTCTCCCTGAACCCTGCTGGGAGCCTGACCTGATTCTTCAGTGGATCAGCCGCCTCTGAAGGAATGCCCGATGCTCCATTTTTTCGTGCTGTGCTCCTAGCTTTGTGAATTAGACAGTGCCTCGTGCGACGGAAGGCATGGCTTTGGCCACCTGAAATTGGAAAACCAATCAGATCTATGCGTTCTAAAAACTTAAAAATGTCCTTTGTCTTTTCTTTCAAGAGCTGGCTAGAACGCGAACACGGCGGCGCCCTCCTCTTAGTGCAACGCTGCCAGCGCCGCGAAGGGCTGCGAGCTGCCTCGCGGTGTGATTGAAAACTGTCCACACACAACAACCTGCTGGAAGCCCTGTGGCCCCAAATCTTAGTTTCACTACGGAAGGACACATGGGATGGAAAGCTGCAGAAGGAATCGCGACGTTTGGAGCCTCCAATTAAATTCTTATCGGAGTTCGCGCATAACATACTTAAAGGTTTAAGGATTTCAAGGTTCGTATTTTTGGGGGAAGGGAGAAAGCAAAGAGTGTCAAAAATAGGCTTAGGTTCGAGCGCTTGGGAGTTTGGGAACTTAGGGTTTGGCCCCGAACCCCTGAAGGCGCTAGGCTGCATGAAAAGAAACGCAGAGCCCCAGAAGGAATGCACAGGTTGCGGTTTTGGTTAGCCCTCGGACTTGGGAGTGTTGGGGCTAGTTGTACTGCCTTAGAGTTGAGGGTTTTAGGAAGAGCAACAGAGAGCCTCGAATCGGAGTTCGGTTGAAGGGGTGTTGGGGTTTTGAATGTTTTGGGCATTTGAATTCGGGCATTGGGCCCGAAGTGACCATGGCCATCGTGGAGTTTCAACCCATCGTCGGCCCGAATAACCGCCGGCGTTCTGAAGCCGTAATCCTTTTCCCCAATATGAGGATAGCTACCATGAATCAGTTCCCAAGCTCGCCACTCTCAAGTGGCACTGAAATGTGAGTTTCCAAGGTGACCGTGGCTGTTATATGGCAGGGGGATGCAGCCGTAATCACACCTCTCAATTAATTAGTTGCTTGAAGGCGCCACTTGCATGGATTTCGCGCAGTTTCATCACGTGGCTTCCTGAATCGCGTGGCTTCCTCAATCGCGCGACGGCACTTTCCGAGTTACAAACTAAATCCTGTGAAGCCAAGCTTCCTGGTTTCCTGAATCGCAGCAGTTTCTTGATTGTTTTCGAAGCGGTTGGTTTCTGAGTGGCTGCGCGTTTCTATTTGTCGGGGGCTTCCAGCGGTCCGCATCCAATCGTGTTGAGAAACCAACATCTAAACACTTGGATTCACAAACCCGAAACGGCCCAAAACCCATTGAAAAAACAAACACCCATCGTCAGGAGAGTGCACAAAAGAAAACCAAAGATGGAACCCAAAACCATGCTTGACCAGCTTAGAAAAAACACCCCATCTCTGAACTCGATCCGAACACCCTCTGAGAAACCGCAAGCATCAGACACACTTTCTTCCAAGAGGAGCAATGCCTACGCTCATGCCCACTCCCAAGGTTGCTCAGCAACCACTTGGGGTTGAGGGCCATGTGCGAATGGGACATCACTGAACCACACCAGTGCAATCCCATGGCCTCAGCGCAGCCGCGATGATGGAACCGGAAACGGGAAGAGGCAGCACAGCGGCTCGGCGGCCGCACCCTGCACTCCCATATCCCCGCCCAGCAGCCCAGCCCCCCGCAAGGGATGGACTCTTCTGGACCATATGACAAGCCGGTCTTGGTCTACATGCAACACCAACACCAACAACATCACCAACACGCGTGCAAGAAGGTTCCATGGCATACCTTCAAGAAGGCCTGATGTTGGGCTACAACGTCGGCCTAATGTTGGGCTGACAGACTTCGGAGCAAATCTCGCAACTCTTGAAACCAGGATGCCTTGAGCTCTTCGGGTGATGCCTGCTTCATGCAGGCTTCGTAGCTATCCTCTACGCTCACTTTTCATGTCTGAGATGCCTGGAGCTGGGCCAGCTTGGACCGCAGATCAGACACCTGACATGCAAAAGTAAGGCACATGTCCCTGCCAGAATCCCATTGGCTCATCGGCCTGCGAAGCTTCGGACCGAAGCCTTTCAACCTGCTGCTGAAGCTCGGCCATGCCACTCGCAGCCTGCGCCTCGACACCACAGGGCACCCAAAAATCTACTTTGCTCCCAGAACCACCACGCAATAAGTCACAAGTCTGCACTAATTAAACAGAGATCATGCCTCCGCATTGACAATCTGCGCTTTCAACGCCGGAACCTCGGGAGGACCCTGCAGGCTGCTTGCCACTGAACTCATGAGAATGTATTCGCCCGCAATCACCTTCCGCTCCAACACACTTTCATGGATTCATTACGCCTTGATTTACAAGATTGAGTTTGCTGTTGAGCCCTCAATTCTGAATCTGGAAAGGCTGAAGCTTGAGTTCTTAAGCTTCGAAGCTCAAGCTGTGCCGCCCAAGTACGTTCCACCGATTGCGGCTGAAGCTCTGAGATTGGTACCTCCGCTGCCTCGGCCGTGAGCCTCTCGACCTCCAGCTGCAGCCTCTCGGCGGCTGCTTGCAATTCTTGCACCTGAGCAGGGTTTTGGGTCCACTGTGGGTGTTCTGCATTTGGCTGTGTTACAACCCCCCCACCCCAAATCCCTGCTTCCTAAAAAATGAAACAGGCATCCTAAGAAATGTGGTATAGAAGAAGCAGATGCGTCAACATCAGTACACAGGCGCAATCTTGATAAACTCGTTGATACCCTGTTCATGCCATCCACATGCTGACACACTGTAAGACTAAGCGCCGTGCGCTAGCATCATCAGACTGCTCGGCAAGGCCTGAGTAAAAGCAGGGCAGACACTTTGCGTACAAGTGCCCAGGGCTGGTGTTTTGAGTTTTGCCGTAGGAAAGCAGATTGGCTACGGCATGGTCGAAATTGCGTCCGAGCTCGGAATGCTTGGCCCGCAGATCCTGTGGCGGCAGCAGTCACAAGGAAGATGGCTGCATTAACCCGCGCAACGAGTCCTCAAGCTCCCAAAACATGTGCTCGAGGGCTTCCATGTCAAAGCGCCAAGTAGGTAGACCTTGCTGCTGGCTATTGCGCTGAAGATCCTTCCGTGCTCAGGGAGCCAACACCCGAACAAGTTGCTATCTATGCAAGGAGACTGCAAAGCAGCTCGTCACCCTCGGAGACGTCCTCGTCAAACTGAAGCTTGTGTAGACGATACACCTACCACAGACAGGCGCAGTCGCGATGCACGCAGCACGCACGTGCGCATGAAACTTTTGCCAGAGACTTGTCGAAAAAAAACGCGCGCATCCTCCTAATCCAGTCTTCGGTGTCTGTCGTCTGTCGTGCATCTAAAAAAATCCGAAGAAACCGTGGGAGGATCCTTGGAAAGCACTGGGGGGTACTCTTCCGATGTGCCTCAAAAGAAAGTGGCCTCACAGAACAAGAATTGAGCTGCCCTTGATGCCTAAGTCCGCTCTTGTTTTTGGAAGTCGAGAGCATTCTTGCAGGAGGGCGACATTGATGTCAAATCATGCTGCGACACTGAATTGAGAATTTCTCTATCCTCTTTCTTCATGTTTGGACAAGGATGCAAAACATCTTAAAGGCCAACATAGCTCTATACTAACACCTGCAGGCGATCTGCTAAAGATGTGCTTTGTTCTCTGGCGGCAACCCTTTTCCCCGCATTCAAAAGTGCACAAGTTCACAGTCCACGAAGGACTCCGACCACTGGAGCAGGGAACATCACACCTGCTTGTTTTAGTGTTCATCCGGAAACAGAGCCCAAACAAGTTGATTTGGATATATGATATATCTGGACGTCAGGTCGGGCTTTAAGAAGCAAGCGTGTTTTGGCTGGGCGAGCGAGCAACCGTCCGCTCCAGCATCTATGGAAACATCACCCAGTCTTCAGCCCTGCCTGGCAACACATCACACCGGAACATACCGAGAAACATCAGAAAAGCAGCGCAGCCTCTCACGGCCCTCGCCCCGCAATTCATGAGTGCATCTTCAAGTGCACAACCAGCGCGCGAAACAAATTGGAGGTCATGAGTACGGTGTGCTCAGAAAGACAGGAGATCAAGCATGGAGCATGAGCATGGCTGCTGTACCATTTTGTCGTTGTCGCTCTTCTTCTTCTTCTGCAGGGCCTGAGCGGCGGAATGCCGCCTTTCCCTGTGTAAAAGCGAATCCCGGTCCTCTGCAGGGCCTTCGATCGTGGCTGCCCCCACAGTCTTGTCGCGGGCCAGTTTGACACTTTTTGCTGCGAAACTTCCCGACTCAACACAGGGCTATGTACTCCACTGCTGAGTGAACTCTCTGCGCGAATTTCTGCTTCACCCCCCGCGAAGTCTTCCTATCTGAGTGGCTCGTTTGTGGAATTACAGACCAATGTTGCAAAGCCTAAACCCAACCCACGAAACGAAGATCCCCAACACTTCTCGCCTTTCTCCCGCTCGCTCCATCCCTTTTCCCACGCTTGACCATGTTTAGGATGTGTCAGGTGTCCACGAGGTTGCGCCTGAGGTTGTCCACGAACTTTTCGTGTCCTCGTCTGGCCTTGGTTGTTTCCAGGGCGGCGCGCCTCCTGCATGTGGCTGTGGCTGTGGCAACTTGGCTGTTTCTTTTGCGACGGTCTGCCCCGATCTCGTCCGTCGCCCGTCTGTCTCCAGCTCTGATTGCTGTTTCTACGCCTCCCTCCTCTCGTGGTTAGACGGGCCTTCGTCTGGGCAGTGCAGGACTGTCCGGTTCGGGGTCGAATTGCGTCACCCGCACGGCCCTCGCTCGTGACGCATCTGGGTATTCAACTCCTTCCCTCCTGCCTTAGGAGCGACGCTGGTTTGCTCTCGTGGTTGGGTCGACCTCAGGGATGACGTGCCGAGAGGGTGCGTCGGTCTGTGCTTTTTTCGCGAGTCGTACTTCTTGTCCCCCTTATTGGCTGTCTGCCCGGGTCGTGCGTGCTCATCTCAGTGTTGGCTGGCTCGGCTTCTCTTCTGTTTCAGATCCACCCGCACATCCCCCGGCTCCTCTGTTTGTCCGTAGCAGCCCCCAGAAGTTTTCCGTGTTCCTTTTTGCTGCTTCTTTCTTCTCTGCGCTGCACGCACTTGATGTGCTTCTGCCTGTTCCGTCAAGGCCTCATAGAGCACCTCCCCCAGTGCGCTGGGAAAGCTTGCAGGTAGGCCTGCGTGTCCGCCTCCTCTTTGGGGCTTTTGCTCTGCTGGTAGTGGTCGGCTATCATCTGTCTCCTTGCACACGTGTGACCTCCCCTTGCCTGCCGTTAAATGCCTCGCGATCACGTGTACACTGCCCTGTTTTCCCAAGCCCGGGGGGTGGATTCCCTGCTTGCTTGTTTGCTTGCTTGCTAGGCGTACGGGATTGTGGCTCTCTCCCTCCACACTGTGTCAACCAGAACAAGCCAAGCTCATGCGCCACAAAATATGTCAAGCCGTCATTCACTCCGGTGCTTCCCAACCAGAACTCTCCGGCATGTGAGTCTGAAACTCTTCGGCGCTCGCAGCAGGAAGCAGCTTCGGTCGAGCCTCAATGTTGCCGTGTCCAATGTCAACCATCGAGGGATCTAGCCTGCAAGCAGTACTTATGCTCATTCCCCCACGCCACTCATCCAAGGCCTTGATAAGATTCAAAAACATGCTTGAAATGCACTCAGTCGACGCCTGCAGACCCTTCTTTTCGCGCAGCACTAAAGAGGATTCACTACATGCAAACGGCTAGAGCGCGCTCTCGGCGCTGTCGAGGAGGTGGGGCGGAGGCGGTTGAAGCAAAGAGGCTGCAGGTCACTCCACGTTTACTTAAAGCATACTGGACATGCTTGAAATGCACTCAGTCGACGCCTGCAGACCCTTCTTTTCGCGCAGCACTAAAGAGGATTCACTACATGCAAACGGCTAGAGCGCGCTCTCGGCGCTGTCTTACCCAATCTCGAAA